CTGCAGAGCACTGACATCCCTGTTCAAACAGGTGTGGAAAGTAGAGACCATCCTGGCTAACTGGAGTGGATCAATTATAGTGGCGATATACAAGGAGGGCAGTCGCACAGACTGTTCTAACCACAGGGATATTAGCCTAACGCCGTTGGTGACAACAGTACTGGCCTCAGTTCTCATTCATCGCCTCAATGCGGAACAGGAATTCCGGATTAGGGAAGAGCAGACAGGTTTCTACTCTGGACGTGGCTGTATGGACCACATATTCACTTTGCGGCAGGTGCTAGAACAGCGCCATGCAAACGGCTAACCGACATATAGCTGCGTTCCTCGACTTCAAGGGTGCGTTCGACTCAGTTGTTCGATCAATTCTGTTTGAAATACTTGCGCAGAAAGATGTTCCAATGAAATATGTGAACATTTTACATGCCGTATACTTGAACATCACAGGCTGCATCAAGGTCTACGGTGACCTGTGGCATTCGTCAGGACTGTCCAATTTCTTCATTTTTGTTCAGGCTCGTCGTAGATTGCATCATGGAGTGTTCCCTTGTGGAATCCTTCAATGCAGGCGTTGAGGTTCTGCTGGTGAAAGGTTAGTTGATCTTTATGCGGACGATATCGTTTTGCTGTTGAACGATGCATGGGACAGTTCAAGCAACCCTGAGTAACCTCTATAGAGTGGTCCCATCATTTGGCGTGCGCATCGCACCTTCAAAGTGCTGCTGCAAGACCACCAGCCATTTGATGACTCCTTGACCATTGGTAACGAGGGACTTGACGTAGTTGATCAACGATGGGCGCATAACCACCGAAGTCACTTCACTTATTGCAAAACCTAAAACTACCTCCTTGAATCTTCGATATCTGTGGCGTCAGAAGGGGGTTTCCCGCGGTCTGAAAGGCCGTGTTCACAGGGTCGTAATGAGGGCTGTCCTACGATATGGGAGTGACACTTGTCCCCTTCGATCTGAAGTGCCCACAAGTCTTTGATTATCGCTGTCTGCGGAGCACTGCTGGTGTCAGTTGGCACCAGTGTCTCTGCAGCGATAATGTGAGTATGCGAGTGCTAAGTGGTGATAATGAAGCTAGCTCTTTAGAAAAACGGATAGCATTGGATGAGTTGCGTTGCCTTAGACACATACTACGTATGCCTGATCACCGCTTACCGATGATGGCTTTATTTTGTTTGCCAGATGTAGGATGGCGCGAGGCACGAGGTGGGCGAATGTTAACTTGGCAGCAGGAAATGAAGTCACTGACTACATAACTTGATGCTGTTGGTCAGTCTCGCTTTCCAGGCTGGAGTCCATGTGACCCTCCTTGTGCTTGTCTCAAGATGTTACACGACATGGTTCGCAGTCGACACCAGTGGCGCGTCTGCTGTCGTCTCGTAGTCGGCTGTCTGTTTAGTGCTGAGTTATCTGCGGGGTAATGGCTGATTATGACGCGGGTCAGTGAAAGTCGCAAGAAAACTGTCTCGCTGATGCCGCCTTACTTTTCACGATAGCCATTTGTTTGTGACGGTAGTTCGTTGACAAGGTGTAGGCGCCTTGTCCCTGAAGGTTTGCTTAGGACATTAAGATTTTCCGCTTTATCTCCCTTTTGTTATTCTTCTTTTCGTAGGCCGTTACGGTTGTACGGCAGCGAAGAATCAGTGCAAGTGGCTGATGTACTGCTGTTGATGACGAGAAAGGGTATTCGACCGTCTGAACCATCGCATCCTCCTTCACAAGCTTTAGAGCTGTGGAATTGGTGATCCAGATCTCGGTCGGATATGTAACTTACTGATTCAACGACATCCGAATGTGAGAGTTCGCCGCGCCATCTCTGACCCTATCGGTGTTCAGTGCAGTGCCACAGGGCTCAGTACTTGGTCCACGCTTATTCCTGATTTACATAGACTTACTCTTCGCTCATTATCTAAGAATATATGTCAGGCAACCAAAACAACGAGTGACCACGTAGCGCTTCAGCATGACCTTGATAGTGTATACGAATGGGCGACTCGGAATCTGCTTCATTTCAACGCCACCAAATGAACATTGAGCATACGCCGTTAATCCATTTGCGGGTACAGGCTAGGGAATCATCTGCAGCATGAGACTACTGAATGTGATCTAGGTATGATAGTACAAGCGTATCTTGGCTGTTTACGTCAAGCCGAGAAGGCGTCCAAAGCGCCAATCATACCTTGGCCTTTTGCGAAGGACGTTCGGGCGTTTTGACCGTTGAATCTTTTCCCGGACGCCCAATGCCTACATTAGGCCCCATTCGGAATACGCCATCCAGGCCTGGCACAAGCACGACCACACGTCACTTGAACTGCCACAACGAAATGCGACCAAGAACGTATAGGGTTTATTTCATCTCCCCAACTGAGGTTGAATACCCTTGGTGTCCACAGTGGACAATCTCGATGCCTATGTGGGGATTTGTTAATGACATATTGGATCCTAAGGAAACCAAACCACGTTTGTAGTCATCTTCTGAAGCTGAATCACAGTACTGACCTCAGAGGTCATCAGCTAATATTGGTCATACAGCACCGCTGATTGGATTGTGACCGGATGTTCTTTTCACTTCGCGTGTGCCAACCATGGAACGTCCTCCCCACTTCCGTCGTTTCTTCCCCCACACTGACGGTATTCAAAAAACGTCTAGACGATGCACTCATACATTTACAGTACGTCGTTTAATCTACTATCTCCGGTCGTCAAGCTAGCATAACAAATCAACGTTCGCATTTTCACCGTCAGCAAATAATTAGTCAAACGCTGCTACTGGATTTACGTATTCAGTCGACCCAAGAAAGCTACACACGTGTAAACATTGTCATGTCTCTTATATTTTTACGTATTACATGTACTGGAATCACTCCCCATATTTTTGAGTGCACACATTCAATTGTCATTTCAAACTACCATTATGCAGTACTTAGTCCACGCCTGTTCCTGATTTGCATAAACGATCTTACACGTGTAATCACTTCCAATGTTGGTCGAGCCATCAAAACAACCAGTGACCTCGTGCTTTAGCATGACCTTGTTGTGGTATATGAATGGGCGACTCAGAACCTGCTTCATTTCAACGCCACCAAATGCAAGACATTGAGCATACGCCGTCAATCCACTTGTAGCGCGTTTCTACAGAATGCGTCTTAGGTGTGATAATACAAGAGGATCTCGGCTGTTCAAATCAGGCCGAGAAAGCGTCCAAAAAGGCTAACCAACATCTCGGACTTTTGAAGAAAGCATTTGGGCCCCTCAATCGTTCCTCAGGTGCTAAATGTCTATATTAGACCCCATTCGGGATACGACATCCATGCTTTGCGGCCCTGGGACAAGCACGACTTCACTTCGTTTGAAATGCCCCAACGAATGGGGACCAAGAACGTAAAGGGGTTATTTCAACTCTCTTACCAATTGAGACTGAAAACCCTCGGGGCTTACAGTGGATAATTCGACGCCTGCACGTCGATCTGATAAAGAAATATTTAATCCGGAGGAATCCAAACCATGCTTGTCGTCAGCTATGATGCCAAATCACAATACCACTCTGAGAGGTCACCAGCTAAAGCTGGCCACACAGTATAGCCGGTTGGAATTCTGCTATAATTTTTTTCACTTCGTGAGTGCCAACCACGGAACGCCCTCTCTACATAAGTTGTTTCTTTTCCCACCCAGTCGGAATTCAAAAGACGTCTCGCTGATACACTCACGCACTTACACTACGCCATATAACCGTCCGGGGGTTAACCTAACACCACGAATCAAAGTGCTCACTTCCTAACCGTCATTTATCAAACGCGGCTACTGTGGAAACTGGATTTACGTACTCCATCTGTCCAAAAAAGCTGCACAAGAGTGAGCGTTGTCACTTCGAATATTTACTTTTTTCTCACGAATTACGAGGACTATAACTGCTCCCCATAGTAATTTGTGGGCGCACATTCAATTTATATTTCAAACTATCGTTATGCAGCAGTACAGTTAAATCGGTAGACGCTTAAATCGAGGATTCACTTATCCTTGGATTTGTTCAGTTTTCACCCAAAGGGGCTTGTCAAGCACCTGCTCTTTTATCCGTAATAAACAATTGTTCGTCACTGGATCATTTACTATCGTCCCAATCAGATTGTTTGTCTGAATTGTGTTTGGTTCTGAGCTATTTGTTGGGATGAGGTTGATTATGACGAGGGGCAGTGAAAGCCACAAGGAAGCTGTCTTGTTGATGTCACATTATCTTCGTACTATAAGCCAGCTATTTGTGGTGGGGTTGTTTTCAAGTTACAGGCGCCTCGATCCCGTATGTTTGTTTAAGACACTTAAGTTCCTCAGTAGGTCCTCATTCTTCCCCTCTTAGCATTATTCATTCCGCAGGTCATTGTGGTTGTACAGCAGTGATACACCAGCTCATACAACTGATCTATTGCTACTGTCGTTCTTCGAGCTTAGGTACTGCTATAATCCGTTATGGTTTCATTAGTGAAGTAATTCAGAAAGGATCTCGAGCGAAATTCTGCCCTGTTTTTTTTACTAACGATGTTAGTGCTCTGGGTTATGCGTGAGTATGCCTGTCAATCAGTGAGCTATGAACTCCATCGAGACGCGCTCAGTCGGTTAGAACTTTCACCCGCTAGCGACGGTAGCCAACGCCAGTTGTAGGTTGCCTTGTGGTAGAACTCAAGCGTCTCTCACAAACCATTGTTCGGTATATGAAAAACGAAAAAGTAGTCAGCTCCATTTTGATGCGACAAGACATATCTTAGTCATTTGTATTTTGCTACTCCTACTGCAATTTTAAACAAAAGCAGCAATGCGCCGCCCACGCAAGAAAATAATGGCCCAATCACGTTCTAACCTGTTTTATGAAACAAATATTTTCTTAAAATTATCTGTACAACCTCCGAAATACTTACGATTGATTTTCGTCTCGTGATTGAGAATAATGATCATACTATTTCCACTTGGTGGTTTACTCTTTTCGAGCTCAGCACTTACCTCGGCCCTTAGCGGGTGCCATGCAACCACTGTTGCAGGTGCTGACACGACTTTATCTGTAGCGGGTCGCAGAATGGTGAGGGGATGGGAACACGGTTTTCGTATGTCGTAAATTACCGGACACATCTGATCCGGATTGATCCGACCACCGACAACGAGATGTCGACCACAGGGGCTGAAAGTAGCATTTACTGGTGGAATCAGAGGATCCATTGAGGCCCCACTGACTGCGCTAGATATGCTCGAGCTGGGAGATAGAAACTGAACCACCGGTCTCGTCGTATCACGTAGATCCCACATTCGTACGCAGTCCTTTGGGGCTACGGTGGCAAACGTTGAATACCCACTGTTGTTTGTTGACAGAGGGTCGGGATCTCCCCCATTCGGACTGCAGTACAGCGAACCCTGAAGTGTACAAACAGCATTTTTTTTGTTAACCATATGTACAACATAGCATCCGTTTAGGTATCAGGTAAAGATTGAAACTCGATAGTTCCACGAGGTGCGTTGCCCCGCATGTCCTGATTTCACACTTCTACAATGGCACACGTCTGAGGCACCTATGGCCGCCACAACCGGCTTAAAAACGCTAGTGTTTGCTTTCTCTGTCTGTTAATTACATGGCACGACCATCGAAGAATTTATCCACTATTCTAATCAGCAGTATTGTGTGTCGGTACTTAGATAACGTATTCTATGGTCGTAAGGATGATCGTGATGGTGATCACGCGTCATGCCATTAGAATCGAGCGCTGTGTCAGTGTGGAACGTAGTGGCCCCATAGAGATAGCGTGCCAAATGTACCAAGGTACAACATGCCCGTGCATAGTTGCATACCAATCTGAAGTACCCCAGAATGGCACGTAGAGCAAAAGCGATTGAAAGAGAACGACAAGTTTCGGCACCACTCACCTGATTCAGCGCAATGGCAGTGATGTTGCGACAGTGTGCTGATTCCACCTTTCTGTGTATTTGGTTTGTGTTCAAATCAACAACTGAAAGACTGCGATCAGAGCCGGCACACAACATGATGTCTGATTAACATGGAGCAGATAGCAAGAATCCGTTGTATCGTCAAATTGGATAAGAAAAAATTGGGGTGAACAGTCAACAGACCTGCGGATGACATGTAACCGGGCTAGAAAAAAGTTTGCTTACATGAAACGTCCAATCTACTCGGAGAGAAGCCTAGTTTGTTCCTAGCGTACTGGCTGGCACACGAGTGGTTAGCCAATGTGACATATAGGGAACACAAATGAATTAGTAGACGGTTTGAGGTGGCAGCGAAGTGAAAATACATTATGGAAGAAAATAAACACCATAAATGGCTATTCGATGTTTCACATTGTAACACGTGCATATAACACAATCACCGCTTCTTTCTACCGCGATCCAACTTGCTTTCTGTCACTTGATCTGCAACCCATCGGGGTACGTGATTTGGACGATATTTGCGCACCAGGAAACACAAGACTCAGGTAGGATTTAGTTAAAGGAAAATATCGCTGGATGCAATCCATAGCCATTAAACACCACGAGAACCGATGTCAGTGACACATAGGGGTACTTGCCATTCGCGAGCTCAGTTGTCGCACACATGATGTACCCTGTCTCTGATTTGCATCACGCACCGGGCTACAATGAAACATCAAATGGCTAGGGATTTGGTTTACAATTAGAGCAAATGCACTCTAACATGCAACTCACAGGAATAGAATATGTTGGCTGAAGCGACAGCCGTTATGCGATTGCAGGAGTTGAGAAGAAAATCTCCCACCAATTTGTAAACACTGGTACACCGACCCCTGTAAATAGAAAGTCGTATATTGTTGTCTCAGCTTTGACAGTTAATTCGTGAACAGCGACGTTTATGCTACGTAGTGTGCGGTTCTCGGCATATCGTAGCGACAGGACACCATTTCATTATTTGTGCAAATCAACAACCATTCTTGCAACGAGAAGCTAGAATCGATAGGCATTGAAATTGTGATGTGCGATAAAATTAAGCAAAGCGACTAGAGTGAAGCTGATCTACCATTTCAGTTATGTGTAAAAACCACCTTTGAGCGCCAATTAGCGGCCTAATCGTGAACACGATCCATTAAAACTTGTGAGTAGTAGACTGCAAATTGTGATCTAATAAGGTAGAACGCAGTGAACCTGATTTGGTGCCGGAGGAACACACTTAAAAGTGAGAAGGATGGAAACCGGTAGATGCATGCACTCAAAGTCTTTTCACTAACAAAACAAGAACGAGGAAATGTATGCAGCACCAGCTCAATGTGGACATTTTCCCTCCGCTCCTGTTCCCGATTTGGTCGTTTTGGTGCCGAAAAGTCAATAGAAAGCTCACGAATCCTTCAGTTTTCCTTTCCTCACCGCGTTACTTAAGTTGCTGAGAAGACCTAGCTTAGTAAGATGATCAAAACGGATAAATTAGAATAATACCAGCCGTATAGTTGCCGTAAGGATTACGTAGATCAGAAGATACCGCATTGTGGACAACGGTTAGTAAAAATCTGGTAACTCAGACGTTTTGGATGATTTTTCCTTCGGATCTCATAATGGACTGCGGCATACGTCTTCCAGACGTCACAATGATACAACATGATGATTGGGGTATGCAGAGAGCCAATACTATCCCTTTCACCACAGGGACTTGTCATACCTTAGTTAGTAGCCTATACAATAGGCCACACCCGTTACTCATGATCCGGAGGCATAAATCGCGAATTTGCAGGTTGCTTGATTGCGGATTTCGAAGCAGGAATGGATGAGGGCGCGCACCGCTGCTGAGTCCCAACAGAGCGAAACTACTACAGCGTCTGTATTACAACATAAATCTACCGGGTCTGTTTGAAATTCTGTAAATATCGCTTACTGCCACTTTTGAATAGTTAATTAGGGATATACGATACAAATCTAGTAAATCCAATTTGGCAAAGCTCACAATGCTGAAGTAGAAGTGGAACGAATCAGCAGTTGAATGAAAACGCACATGTGCTGTACAAAAACGCCACGTTTTCAACTGTGGCCCAAACAGAATATCAACACATTTCGGTTGACTCACTTGTCCAGTTTGTTGGTGACGTCAGCCAACTCATAAGAGTACAGACGGAGGACGTTCTGGCAGACGAGGTACACAAAGGCATCCAAAAAGTGAAAGTTGGCAAACTGTATGCAGTCGGTGAAAGCGGCATCTCGCATAGCTGTTCTCTGTTTCAACAACATGAAAGATACAAGTATCAGGATATCGTGGTGAGAACAACACGAAATATGGGACTGAGATGAATGCGGACTGAACGAAAGGGAATCAACCACATTGCGCGTGCGGTACATGGTGGACTGTGTGAATGTACTTTCGATTGCCTGGTGCCCTAACATACTGAATGAGCATCATGGCCGCTAACCGTGTCAAAGGGGAGTGCACAAGTTCGAGAGCAAAGGAAAGGACAAAACTATTAATGCAACTGTGGTGAAAATTCGTTTTGGACTTATCCACAACAATCACAATTTTGAAATGAAGTAGGATAAGAAAACGTGAACTTCGCTGTAGGTAACCTGCAACGCTTATGTGCAAATGAAAGGGACACCTGACTTGGAGGTCTCGCTCTTATCCGTGTCATGATTCGACGCTCTTTTGATGCCTTCCTAATCTTTTAACCGTTGTTTTGCAGATGACTGATGATTCCCTATCACATTAAATCATTCACACAGTAAACCGTTGGACCTGATGTCAACGAAGCTGCGCGGAACCCGACCCCTGCTCAAATGCGATGGCTAAATCAATTGGGTCATAAACCTAGCGGCCTCTACCTATGCACACATATCCGTGTTTCATTCCGTACCATTATCCTCCTCCTTATCAATTCCATTTGTAAGTGCAATTTAACTGCAATGCGTATCAGAACCCGAATCACGTCTGACCAGTCTCTTACCTTCTGGCAGGTCCCAGATCAATGACGCAACTGCACTGATACCTCATTTCCTCCCTAATGATATGTTTCTCCTCTTCAACATCTTACTATATCCGTCTATCATCCTTCATAATTACCTCTATTTGCACAACTTTTTGGCGCTACATGTCATGGCATGCCGACCAGTCTCTAATATTCCGGAAGTTTCCAGACTATTGAGGCCTCTGCACAGGAGGGTTTCCTTTTCGTACCCGTATCATTTGTCCATAATGACAGGCATCTCTCAACCTATGCTCAAGTGTATCTTACTTTCGCTCATTAATCCCCTTATTTGTATTATAATCAGCAATACTTGTCGCAATCTCAGTCACGTCTGATATGTTTATTTCTTTCTGACGATCCCCAGAGTATCGGCGCCTCTGAGTAACAGGGTCTTCTGCCGCAGCAACATCTCCCTTTCACCACGCTCCTCTTTTTCCTCCATTAATCCTAATTGTTTTTGTTTCCGTGCCTAGCGGCATCTGGTGTGCTTCTCTTCTTATTCCGTAATAACAAACCAGACCATTGAAACACAGTAAAATCCCAGTAAGTTGACCACTTAAGGTACTAGACCAAAGTGGTCTGGATGCATAAGGTGGACATGCAAGCTATGAGAAAAAAACTGGTCAACCTCGAGAGGTTGTCAACTTCGGAGGTTTTACTGTGTGCTTAGTAGGGTCTCCAGCTGCACCCCATTCCTTTCAATTCTATTAAAGTGATCTTCTAATCCACCATTCAACCGTTGCTGCTTTTCCATTCCGATCCCAGCAACAACTGCCTGCATTCCTGCTCTTAAGCTGACTATTGTGGGACAATTTTTCGATTTTCATCCCTGACGTATGTTGCATTTTTCTTGTTTTGATGCATAAGTGCACTATAATCTCACATTTTATGCCATTCTGTTGCCGTACGATGGGTATTTCTCATGGTTTTTTGTGTTTGTAGGTACGTACATATGCTATTTTTATCATGTACACATAAAACGATATTGCATGCCAGTATAGGCGCCATTTCACGGGTCCTCTTCACCTTCTCCATCGAGTATGGATGCATTATTTTCGCCTGCATTTTCTTCCTCATCCTGAAGCGATCTAGAAGTTATATTTCACTTGTTAAAAGACAGACGTGCTGACAGTTCAGCTATCCCTTTTTGAAATACTGTCCTTCTAAACTGAATTACCATGGGGTCTGAACAGTTGTGTTCAAAGATGTATACTCTATCCGCCTCGCCAGTGAGGATTGCCGTCAACATTAGGCCCCTCCGTAGTGACCTGGAGATTCTTCGGCCTGACAGTAAAGTAACCCAAAATTATAGTTTTATTATGTACCTAGGGAAGTAAGCGGCTCGCTTGTCGGACTGTTGCTCACTGTTCGAGTCACCACACACACATCCGCTGTTCCGGCTCGGACGTGGCTGGACCACGTGTTTCGCATGCCAACACCGATTCCGGTGACGTGCGTTGTTAACGCGACAGGATTTTGGAGGGAAGGAGAGGAGAGGAAGCCAACTTGATCAAGAGGAATGTAGGCCCTCACTAGGAGGTTGGCCTCGGTTGGAGCATTTCAAATTTCTGGTTATAGTCTGAAAGAGTATGACCACATTTGGTTGGAAACACTAGTTGATATGACGAGGAGGCGATCTTAATAGCACCTGTGTTGTGAGTTCCTATATCCCGCCCCCTTCCACCCCTAGCCTCATGTTCCAAAACCACGAGCTTGCTGTTAATGCATAATGTAAGACAAAGTTTTGCTTTGCGTTGCTTTACATACCGTGATCTAATTGATTTCTATTGGGGTACAATGGCTAGGGTCTATCTTATCCCTAGGTAATGTGCAGAATGATAATTTTTGATGCTTTCACTTTTTGTCTCACACTTTACCTACGGGATGTTAAAGGTTTGACTTTTTATCCGTGATAAATCTGCTACTTTCTTAATAGTTTGCGTGTCTCCGTAATGAACAGTTACTCCGAATTTCATGCAAACCGAAGATAGATGAATAGCTGACAGTCAAACGAGGTGTGGATTACAGGCCAGCTACAAGACAGAGCGACGAAAGGTGGTTTAGACGGCAACAATTTTGACCAAGTGAAGTTGTTAGACCAAATTCGACGCGGTGAATCTCGAAATTGGGATGTTAATGTTCTTGAAGAGGTGCACACATCTCCGGGGATCGGAAATGCAAATATGTTGGCGTGAAGTTGTGATTGGCTGTATCCTAATGAGTTTCGCTCCGTTTGGTGATGACTGCTAGCCGGCGACACTTGTCTAGCACTGAGCTAAGCGGTGGCCGCAATCCAAAAGACCGCAAAAACACCATAAACGGGATGTCTGGTATAACTCTAGCTGTAAGTTACCGGATTTTGTTGTCCACCGCAAAGGCGGAGCTGTGAGGTTAAAAAAAAGAGTATCAAAAAGTTTGCTCACATTTACAATATTCGTCTGTTGACCGCTCTGCTTTTTATACACGCTCGTCAAGCCACCCCTGGGGGAGTCCATGATCAGAGCTGTCCGAAGCAGCGGTACAGATTTCCTCGCCTTTTGTGGTGTGCTTGGGGGAATCAACCGCCAGAGACGTGCTGTGCGGTCCGATGAACTGGTTAGAAGCAGCTGACCGTCAGAGGACCACGCGGCGCACAGTACTGGACCGCTGTGACCACAGAGCGCGTTACCATATAGAAGCCCGAGTCCCGAATCATCCGTAGGTTGTTTGAAAGTAGGATTAACTGTACTGCACAGCAGTAAGCAAACTCCGCTGCCCAACGCTGCCGCTAAGCGGGTCCCTGAAGCTGAAAACAGATATAATGGTGGATGAAAATGGAAGTTTAAGAGACTCACGGGAATAGTGAAAAATTAGAGTGGACGGATGCGATGACGGAACAATACTGCGGATCCCCCGATATGATTAAGAGGGATATGGGGACCGACCGAGAGACAGCTTCACAGCGGTTCAAGGAAAAAGGGAAAGGTAGGTGGTACGAGGCAAAATGTGAAGGTAGTCAATATGGAAAAGAAAAGAACTCGCTTATTCAATAAACTCATCGCCAACGGTAATGATGACGAGACCAGGGAATTCATTAGTGTCAAAGACAAAATAATGGACGGTAGATGCACAGTAGATACTGAACTAGAAATCTTGTGTATCAAATACACAAGAGTTGATCTAGAACAGTGAAACTAGGATGCCATGCGGCCCGGACAAATTCCACGAACACCGACGTCGCGAATTTCGGAGAATCACTACACTATCTGTCCAGTGAGTGTATTGGACATTTTCGACAACAGGCTATAGTTGCCGTAGTCAGTTACATGCTGGGTGTTATCTGTTCGCAAGGCGGCACTCCACGGCTGATGTCGTACTCGTATGCACTCGTCAGGTGGAGATTCTGACCAGGCACGTTGGGACTGCAAGCCGAAGCAGTGGATTACCACAACGAACACCCCCACCTAATCATTAACCGCTGTAACCTGGAAGCGAGTCACAGTGTTCTACTAGGTGACAAATGAAAAGTAGTACGAAATTGATCGTAGTGTACAATGTTGCGTGCGTGCAACAACACCTGAAATCAATCTGTTTCAGATGCAGCCCCAGGACCGAGTCGGCTGAAATTCATTTCGAAATGAATGGCGGTTCAGGTTGAGATGCCGTGGTACATACAGTCCATTTACGCAACGTATGCTTCAAAGTGATCCCCCACTTAAAATATAGATGCATTTATCTGTCCAAGCACAGCGCTGTTCCTGTTTTCAACAGATGAGGGATGTGTAATAACAACTGCCAACACTAACACAACTCACGGGAGTAGGTAAGATGGTAGACCGGTGTGACGCAACTGTCCACGGATCCGTAGTATTTGACTGTGGATGGTGCTGTTTCGGATCCGGTATATGTCTTCAATATCTGACTGAAGGACACGGTGATTAGTGATTGGCTCATATTGTGTGCCAGCTTACTTAGAGGTCCCATAAGTACTGTGTCTTGAAGATATTCTTGTGTGCTTTTCTGGGTTGATGTGGGGCTCAAACATTTTCCGTCTACGAAAAAGGCATAACATTCCGGTCGTGTTGATGCATTTTGGTTGAAGAATAAAAAATATCAAAGTTTGAAAAGATCCACATGCCTCTTAATGTTCACTAAAAGCGATTATTGAAGTGAGAAAGTCAAAAAAATTTATGTGATTTTGCAACATTTAGCATGTGGATGGAGACACTAGACGACACCTATATCTCATAACTTATTTCACAGTCAACGGAATGATTTGTGAGTAAATGAAAGGTGCACCATTGGGATCGCTCGTATCAGGAATTATTGCGGAGATGGTCATGGAAAAATTGGAAGAGGATTTTGTAATGGGGAACACATGTCCCCAAAAGAGCGTACAAGTGAAATCAAGTAAAGCTCACACAATCACATTCATACTAGTGCTAATGATTCAATCATTTCCCGCATTTACAAGAATTCGCTTTTACACAAACAGCCTCGGCAATTGTTCCACTTTCTCTTTGACCAGCCTCCGCCATTACAAATGTTAAGAGGATGTTCACTGGGCATACATATTTCATGATAATTCTTAGTTATCAGCTTTCATTTCGTTATCGTCCGTTTCTCGACATTTGTTTAAACGCGTCATTTTTGTAGTGTGATTGGCCGGTATACGTCATTCTCAATGTATGTTAAGGACTAAATTCCGCTCATACCGTTTTCTCGGGCACACGTGATTGATCCATATTCTTACCACTTCCCATTCGCCTGTGTCAGTCGGCGTTTCCTATGTTGTTGGTTGGCTCCGATGTGTTTTAGTAACAGCTTCTACCACTATTGTACCCTATATACGCGAAGTAGTATTCTTATGTACACAATCTTGCCATGGCTCATCTTTCGTGTTCACATTGTGATCGTGTGTTTAATGACGATACAATAACAACCATTATCGTTTCCTAAACGTTCCACTTACATAGTACCCATTCACTTGCTTACGTGCATCCTCCTGGTTAAGCTTACGCAGACTGTTCGATGTGAAAACCACATACGTCACCAACCTTGGTGCAAAAATTAGGCTGGTCAACGCTGTATTCGTTTGTTGCGGGGCCAGTAAAAACGCCTGCTGCGAATAGCTCGTTTTCCTCCTCTTTCTCGGGGTCGTGCAGATGCGTGTGGAGTCCGCTTTCGCTCTATACTATTTCCCAGTCAAATGCATCCACAACAAAATCAAAATCTTTCTTAAGGAAATCGGGCTCTTCCACAGACCTCAAGATGGTTCATACAGTTACCAAATTGAATCCAACGGGCGCGATAACCCTAAAATGCGTACTGTTCGTTGAGTGATCTATCACAAATCAGACAATAGCATATCAGACAAGTACACAGAATGGGATGCTAGAGGGCTGTTGAACAGACTCATCTAGGACATCGTGGGAGTAGAGCGCAGATCGATCGCGCATTCGGAGGTTGTGTGTTTAGCTGCGTTCAACACTGTTACTCAGCAAGGATCAGCCATAAGTTAGCAGGCATGTTCATCAAACTCAAGCTTGGCCGTCTCTACGTGTGTATGGGTGGCAGTTGGGGGCTGTACGTAGTATTGCAGGCACTTACGTGTCTATGTAAGATTTCATATGCGCGTGCCACCACTGAGCAAAATGCTGAATGGATGTCCATATGCTACAAGACTCCAACGTAGTGTTGTAACGCTTGCTTTTTCCCCTCTGCTCTCTGCCACTGACAACTGTTGTACTGCTGCTTTGCTGCCCTGTGAGACTGCGACTGTCTGACTGCTCAGTCACGCGCCCAGCCGACCGAAGGAATACAAAAAGCCAGAACTCGGTAGACAGAGAGTATTATATCTACGGGATAGATCAACTCTATTTATTTGGTAAACGAAGCATGCAAATTTAGGAGGTCAAGGTCACTCATTCTTCTGCGTCTGGTTTTCCGCATGGGTGGGTGGATTCCGCTCTACGAGTTTATCATATTGACGAAAGAATTCGATTCCTTTGACGCGGACTGGTATTTGCTGTCTGATCAATTCTCACTCGATTCCCAAATTCAGCGGAAAGGTCAAAGCTCGTAACACGCCCGAGCTAATGACCTTTGCGTGCAGCGGACAGCCTACGTGCTCCGCTTACGCCTCTAAGGTAAAGTGACCCAAACGGTGAGGAGAATGACATGAGCATCGCTCACGCACCGTTGTGGAGGATCGGCTGGTATGAAATTTGTGCCAATGGCGCCACAGGGGTGGTGATCTGTTAGCCCTTGACTTATTTGAGGAGGCGCCCGAGGTTGCACTTGCCTAATGATCTTATTGCGTCTTCCTTAGGTTAACTTTGTAACCGTGGAATAGTTAATGTAGTTACCTCATGGTTATCAGTGCGTTTGAAAGCAATTGGCAGTCTATGTGAAATATTCTATGTACGTGGCGTTCCCTCGTGCGCTGTCGTTGGACAAAACGAGCAGCACATCATGCGTTAGAAAGCAGTTGGTGTGGCCGAAGTGCCTGTTTACTGCTGTTTAATTTAAGGCATCATTAGTCTGAATGATGAGGTGACCATCAGCATATGCACTACAAAGCATGATACATCGTAGGCACCTTTGCGAGACTGCACCGCGTCAAAGGGTTAGCGACAGTTTCCATATACTGGTCTATATGCAATTGCTAGTCTATTGAAGTCGTTGACAAGGCGAACGAATACGTTTGAAAAGAATTCAGAACGTTGTCCGCCAGAGCGGGTAACGCCCAATTTCCGTACGCTTTAGCTACGGTTCTAGTGATCGAATTCGCCAAAGTTCGCTTCAGTGAGAATCACGGTCCATATTGAGACTGTGCGTTGCAATCCAATCACGTAACGAGTGCTTCAAAAGGACCCTCCAACTCTTACGATTTCGTGTGACTGAGTCTGATGAGACGATGTTCAATTTCCACGTGTCAAAAACGACGCGATGGAGACGGCGAAACACATTATTTGACTTAAGAGATTGACCTGAGACAAGCCGAAGATTAAGATGGCTGAAACAATCATTGGAAAGACATGGTGCCATAGTGTGTTTTAGCTCACGTTTCAGCTGTGCGCAAACTTAACGCAGATCTTAGCTCAACATCAGCAAATGCTTTCTCCCTACCTTCTTTCTACATCAATGACCCAGCCACCTTATTTGACCAAATCAGTGTTTACAAGGAACTCACAAGGCTGAATCCAAACGAGGCTAGTGACCGAATTCCTTGTCCCCAATCGCTTTGAAAGAGTGTGTTAATGCATTACAGTCGCTTCTGACAGAGATTTTCAACCGATGTTTAACGATTGGCACTATCCCCGATATCTGGAAAGAAGTCAGAATAACACCTGTGTCTAAGAGGTGATCACAGAAATATCGGCCAATAGCGTTTATTTCCGTGATACTGAAAGTGCTTGAAAAACTACTAATTCCCTGAATCTTTACAAGCAATCATAAGACTGATATTAAGTAGTTTGCATACAAGTCAGGGCACTCTACTCTGGATACCGTTCCGTATTTTGTGCATTCCATTGCATCTGCTCTGGATAAAAGAAATGCAAGACTGTGCGGCTCCTGTTCCTTGATTATACTAATGCGTTTGGGAGCCTTGAGAGATCGTAACTACTCCAATCTTTTGCACGAAAACGGCATTCCTCCATACGAATGCAATGAAATACGTGACTTTTTTATGAATCGCACACACTTCACGCAGTTATGCGGCGAAAGATCATCCTCAATCCCAGTCAATTGTGAGGTCTTACAAGGATCTATTCTATCCCCCTTTCTGATTTCCGTTCATATTGAGTTTATGCCTATACCAACCAGTTTCATCGGGTGTAAATACACTGACGTCGTCCTAGGGTGAATAGCCCTAGTAATTGAGGAATTCGAAACTCCAAGAAGAATTAGACGAACTCTTGACTTGGTCAAGCTCCTGCTCCCTCTCCCTTAACCCTTCAAGGTGTTGTGATATTCTCTTTTCTCCGCCCGACAGACTGCGCTTTTTTAACCATCTCTCCTTTGGTGGAGTGACCAAAGCATCCCTCGTTCATGTTCCGTAAAATATCTGTGTTTTTTTGCCCTATAATTGATCCTGGTCGACAGGTATTCCTGAAACTTTTCAAAAAAGTCAGAAGCCTATCCATTAGGTTCAAAATGCTCTTTGTACCGCGTGCTCCAATTCTAAGGTTTGCAAATGGATGTATTCTTTCCACTAGCTGTACTGCTCCCCTGTTATTTTCTCCGGACTACATCAAAAGGATTATACTCACCTTGTGAGATCACTAAAATTTATTTCCCGATGCTATGGATTAAGCAGAGAAATCCTCGTTGATTTTGTGGTTAGCAAGCACTTTGACTTCTCATTCAAGATTCCAAAATACCCCTCTCACTCCCTACACTCTGTTTTAGCTAGTATAGAATCCATTCCTTCTACGCGGTCGAAATTTAGAGTGTTTTCCGTACCTCTTCATATCGCAACTCCATTTCGCCTTATCTGTCTCGCTTGTTAGTCGATCCGAGAGCGATGATGCAACAATTGCAAGAATGTTTGCTTGCTTAAAATGTACTCTTTTTGTTGTTCGTGTCAATTCACATCATTTTCCCACCGAATATGGTATATGTCTGCAGTGTTGGTGTAAATTGCTGAAAATGCTCCCACACGGGTGTATGGAAAGCTTATCTTTACTTGGCTTGACTTAAGAGATTCGGCGGTAGCGGTGCACGCGCTAGGCAAGGAGCATGAGACTTATCTTGGTAATGTCAGGATAACTTGGAGGTGGTTGCAGCCAACGCTCCAAACTTTGATTACTGAGACGGTGTAAACCGCCAAAGTCAAAAGCTCGGTGAACAGACTGGACGGGGTGCAGTTGTCGAATGTGTAGCCGGTTGATTAAACCGGCCGACGTGAGAGGTATTGGCGGGCCGATTTGGGTAGCACACCGAACATCAAATCGCCCCACTCCCATCACTAACAAGAAACCCGTAACGTGCAACACTTGAGACCTTTCACCACTGCGACGAGGCGGGAAATTACCGCGGTGCGGTG